TTTCCTTTTTTTTTTTTTTTTTTTTTTTTTTTTTTGGTTTCTTCTTCGAGCCGAACTGTGCTCGTCGAAATTCACACAAACAGGGACAAACTACATGCCCGCAAAGAAATCGAGGCTTAATGTCAATATCGTATTAACCCTTTGCATTCCTCTGTCTCGACATCAATTCTTATCGTAGGGACTTTCATGCTCGATATTTTTAAATTGCCAAAAAAAAAAAGAAAAAAATTTTTAAATATCGAAGAAAAAAAACAAAATTTTCTCGATCCTCGCTGCTTATTCTCTGCATCTATTGATTCTTCGTGGCAATTCCATTGTTATTGCTAGAGCGAGGAGCATAATTGTGCCAATGACGATGAAAACTTGTCGACAATTTAAATTGTATGAGGCTCGTTCATCTCGTCGAAGATGATGTTTACATCGATGCGAGACATTACCCTCGAAAATTGTAAAAATTCAAACGCGAATGCTGGAATTTCCTCTTTGTAACGACCGTTTGAAACTCGCTGTATCCCATCTATTTCCCCCTCCACCTAGCGTTCTGTTGAACTTTGAACATTGGGGATCAGAGATGTTGGAATTTCTCGAATTTTTTCGTCATTTCAATACAGGAAAATTCAATAGAATTCGATAAGAAAATGTTGAAAAATCGTAGGACAAGTTTCAAGAGGGAGACTTTGATCTTCAAACCGATGATGGCTCTGGCCACGAGAACAATTTTCGATGAAATTTTGACAATTTTCAAGAAAAGTGCATCAAATTACCTTCAAAAAGAAATGACCACGCGACTGTCAAAACAGAAGCTTTACGCTTTAACATGAGATCAAGTGTATCGTTATACAAAGTTATATCAAATTATTGACAATTCTTTCACCGTCACGGTGCAATTATACTCTTCACTGTTGCATTTTTTCGGCTGTATTCTCTCACGGATTTCGATTCTAATTCGGAAACTCTATTCTCCTGTAGTAAAATTAAAAATTAAAATTCTCACGAACCGTTCGAAGATTTAAATACGCAGCGAAAGAACACGAGACTAATTAATTTCAAGAAAGCTATAATTTATACCTCCTTTTCAAACATAACGCAACGACGAGATAGCTAAAGCTAAACTCGACGAAATTCGTCGAAATACCGTGCGAAAAGAAAGAAATCGAGAGTGTCAAAGCACTCGTTGAACGACGCGTCATTCTTCATTTGTCCCCGTTACGTGACACTTCTCGCGTCTCAAACGCGATTCCCAGACGAGCATGTCGCGTCCAAATTAAGGGTCAGACAAATTAAGGGGAGGAAAGTTTCGCGCTGATAAATTGCATCGGTGGCTGAATTTCTCAGGTTCTCTCGTCCCTTGTTCTTCACCTTGGTTTTTAAACCTGCTCGGATCGTCGGATAAATTAAACCTAAATTCAATTAGACAACCTGCAACGTAACGGCCTGCCGATAGTCCAAGCTGATTATCAAATAAAACAAAGGTTTAGGTTACGGTTGCGCAACGACTCGAAAAAGCGTGGAGAAATCGATCCGTTTCGAGAAACCATACGGAAGATTCTGAAAGGTCGCAAACATGCTGAAAGACAGGATCAGATACGCCATGGACCATCTGTCCCACAAACAGTATGTTTCTCTACTGGCGCGGCCTAACTGGCGACGAATTCAAACGAAAAACGTGCATATTCTGGTGAGTATCGTTTCTTGCAATTTTGCACTCACATCTTGCGATCGATTTCCATGTACAGTAGTTGACCTCTTAACTGACC